AAAAAAAGTTCTGGAGGTATTTTGGTGCAGTTTTGGACAATTTAAGGGTGATTTTGGGATAAGACTGACCAAAGGATGGCTGGTCAACATTTTCAAGTCAACTGATATTTTTATTGTCCGGTGTAAATAAACATGTTTATTTTTCATCAGAAAAAGAATCTGGGCGCACGAGAAATCTTAGATCACATAAAGGTAGACGGTCGCATTCACGCGCACTATTGGAGCAGGCATCTTTAAAATTAAATAACTAAAACAATAACACCAGGAGAAGACTAATACTTTTTAGAAACAAAGAAAATTATTTAGACATGGTGGGTGTAACCATTACAAATTATTTTGTTAAAGGGACACTCAAGTGGATTCTGATACCGTCTATTGTCGTAACTCAATCTATAAGCTCTAAGCATCCTAAAAAACCCATAATTAAATTCAAGGCTGGCCGATTTCCCCATTGAAAGTCCAATCAAAGATTGCGCCACGCCCCTCTTTCTGCGCCATGGCGCAGAACACCAGGGGGTGCCACCATGCGCGCCTTCGAAAAGTCAGTCCGCCGGGAAACCGTCACTCGTGATTTACTGTCATGTGCCTTCCCCTGCTGCCTTCCTGTCTGGTGGCACCCTCTAGTGTACTGCACCACAATGCAGAAAGAGAGGCGCGGAAAAATCTTTGAATGTACTTTTATTAGGGAAATCGGCTGCTCTTGAATGTGGTTTCAGGTTTTTTTTAGGATGCTTAGAGCCTATATATTGAGTTACAACAATAAATGGACATGGCTGCTATGGTAACTGCAGTGTATTTTACGAAATACATGTGTTTTGAAGCTCAGCGTCTAAATAGAGTTCCACAGCACTCTATGGAGCACACAGTTCGTAAACGAAAATCTAGATGGCGCTTCGAATAATGACGGGAGGCGGATTGAAGCGAGTGAGGGGGGGTACCCTCTTCTACGAGAGTTCCACAACTGAGGTAATCTAGTAACGTTGAAGAGAGCTTAGAATGGGCAGTTTTGCCAAGGGACAGCAACGTTGCAACACGGTACAAAAAGTGTATGATATATTAAAATATAAATTTTTGATAGAGCAATAAATACAACCCCTAAACACCCCAATTATGTTAATAGACAGTTTCAGCATAGCGTTACGACATGCTACCGTGAGCACGGCAACGCTCCAGCGTGAGCTGAAAATTGTTCTTGAAAGGCGCAGTGCGAGCTTCCGGTTGCAATGCTACACCGCAAGGTAGCCTGCGGTAACAAACTTCCTATAACCATACAGCCGTTTGATCCATGTGTTGCAATACACTAAAACCTAGAAGGTGAGCAGCGAGTTGCGAGCCTGTGACACGAAGACATCAATACTGTGAACGCTGCTGTTCTGGAGCTTGATGGTCACCGTGCACGGCTCACTTTTTAGAGCACTAATGGCCAGGCAAAGCGCAAACACAGTACCTTCATCACCCTCCAAAATATGTTGCCACAAACAGTGACGTGGTTGGTGTCTAAAACGCGCTCACACACAAAGCTTCGGAAGTTGGGGTTTCTCCAACTTTTAAATATCAGTATGCTCGTTTTTCTACCACGCATCAATATCTCCGTCACCTGTAATATGATCCTGCCCTAACTGCTTCACATTTGTACACAAATGAGTCATTTTTAGCGTAGTGACAAGCGTGAACAAGCAGGTGCACGTGAAATCCTGGAGAATCTATCTTCGTCTCTTCTGCCATCCTGGAAGTACTGCCTTGCCACGTATGGGGCGTTGGAGTTGCAAACACGGGATATTAAGCAATGACAGAAAAATATCAATTGAATTGAAAATGTCGACCAGCCACCCCTTGATCGATCTTATTTGAAATCACCCTTAATGTTTTGGCACAATTCAGCAACAGCCAATATGTTTTAGTTTTGTAGAAACCTTCATCATATAAATTACAAATTGGCAGAGTGTATACATCGACGTGCGGCGTGCTTTGTTTATCAACACAACGGGAAACCCGCGCACGCGCAGAAGGTATGTGGACAGAAGCGGCCGAGCTCTGTGTTTTTGCCATTGCAGTATGTGGTCTACATTTGTTGGTGAGGCTGCACAAGGTGCCTGAACTTCATTTGTTCTTGCATTTTCTGCCAACGAACCTCGTATGTGATGCTAGACTATTTGGGCTAGCTACCGGACTTTGAACGGCAGTGGTACAGACAAACTGCATTGATAGCGTTGCCTTTGACAATTCTAATGGGCACTTTGACAAAAAGTTGGTGCCACTAAAGTCAATGGCTTATGTCGTCATTTATGTGGCGCCTTCAACAAGTTAGTACACAGCTGGCATGATTCAGTCATACAAGTCTCTTGATCTGTAAAAATACAGCACAAGTATAAATGCGCATAACCCTTTGAAGGAACTGCATAAATTGCTATCTTGACCTATCGTGCTACGATTTACTACAGAAGTGATCTAGATGGTGCAGTAATTATATAAAAGTTTGAGCCCCCCACACCTAAGGAAACAACACTTTTTATGGGTGATTGCTAGGGTGACCATATTCCTCAGGGTAGAAAACGGGACACCCCAGCAGGCGGCGGCGGGAAAGGGGGGGGGGGGGGGTACTAAAGCTTGAGTGAGGAAGAAAAATTTAAGGAAATAACTTGTCGTATTTCATAACGTTCGGATATTGCACTTCGGTAGCATGAACTCATTTGGAAGGTCCTGCTTCGGGTCCTTCGTTGGAGTGGGCGTAATTTGTTGACGACGGAAGTTTTCTAAGCAGGACTTTATCGTGCAAGACTCGGTTGTAAAGGTCTGCGCACTTGTGTGGGAAGTTCAACCGCACAAGTATCATTGCTCGCAATGTTGAGACAAGAAGGCGAAACTTCTCGCATATCCACATGGAGTTCATAATTAAAAAGGCGCGCTCCACTGGAAACGTGCTTCCAGAGAAGCACAGAGCCTGTTCCACGAGTCGAGAAATCTCGGCGCAGCATACATTCTGTTTTCATCTCTTTAAAGACTTGCAACTATCTCTGAGAGACCTGGAGAGTTCCCCTGCTAGTTTAATTTCAATGTTTTTCTTGACAAGGGTCCTCCATTGGTGAACACACACGTACGTTTCTTCGGCATTTTCGAAAAACAGTGCAGTGTCGCCAACCGAAATTCTACATGCGTGCTATAGTCAGTAACTTATATATATATATATATATATATATATATATATATATATATATATATATATATATATATTTCTACACACGCGTCTTCGCGAGAGAAGAAGTGTTTGTGGGCAAGAACAGTTCTAAATTTTTCTCTCGAGGTGAATATTTTAAAGCACCTACGGTTATTTTTGTAAAATATAGTTGTAACGAGTGGGCATATTTTCGGTTTGCTTCAGTTCGCTTAGTGCCAATTTCATGACTATATATGCACTCCTACGAAAACGGGATATGATTCATTATTGGGACAAAAAGACGGGACGGTAAAAGCAAACCTCAAAAACGGGACTGTCCCGGCCAAAACGGGACGTCTGGTCACCCTAGTGATTGCCCACTCCTTTTGGCACAATATCATCAAACAGCCTTTTGGGCCACCGTGGCATTTATTACGACTAAAAAAATGAGGGAATGGGAAGGAAGTAAACTTGGCTTATGTATTATCTGTCTCCCTTTGCCAAAATAGACAGTGGCCTAAAATGTAATTTGGTTTTCACACGTAAACTAAAGACAAAAGTTTTTTTTTCTCTTTTATTTTTTTACTAAGGTGAGCTCTGTTCAATAATATAGCTAGAAATTGCCAATTTTATTGAAAAAAAAAAAAAGTTTTAGTGCAGGCAAGTTGACGGTTGACACTTTGGTCAAAAAAGACTGTGGACTGTGGTAAAAAAAAAACGTGAAAGCCGTTTACAACTCCCTGTAACGCCGAATTAGAGCGCAGCTCTTGAGGAGGAGGAGGGAAGGGTACTGGGGGGGTCAAGTGACCTTGGGGGGGGGGGGGTCACGTGACGAAGCCGATGACGTCATCAGTAACGATGACGATGCGGATACCGATGACGTCATCAGTGATGATGATGATGCGGATGCCGGTGACGTCATCAATGATGACGATGCGGATGCCAGTGACGTCACTGATGATGTCATCAGCGATGATGACGATGCGGATGCCGGTGACATCATCAGTGATGATGACGATGCGGATGCCGGTGACGTCATCAGTGACGTCACTGATGACGTCATCACTGATGATGACGATGCGGGTGCCAGTGACGTCATCAGTGACGTCACCGGCACTGATGACGTGACCCCTCCCCAAGGGTCACGTGACTCCCCAAGGTCACGTGACACGCAGGGGCACGCGACACCCAAAGTCACGTGGGTCCCCAAGTCACGTTACCCCTGGGGTCACGTGACCCCCGATGACGTCATCAGTGACGTCACCGGCATCTGCATCGTCATCATCACTGATGACGTCATCAGTGACGTCACTGATGACGTCATCGGGGGTCACGTGACTTGGGGAGCCACGTGACTTTGGGTGTCACGTGACCTTGGGGAGTCACGTGACCTTGGGTGTCACGTGACCTTGGGATGACCTTGGTTACGCCGACGGCGACGCCGCTCAAGCCGGGAACGGGCCCCTAAGCCCGTTCCCGGCTGCGCTCTAAAAGGGGAAAAAAAGGGACAGACAATGTCACAATTATATTCCACCTGTGTGCTAAATTACATTGGTCCGAGCTGTGCACATTATTAGTTTGTACAAATATCACCAATGACGAGTCATTCGTCCACCCTCATGCTGTGCTGCTCTCTGCGTCAAAGACAAGTTACGTTCAAAAATTGGTTTCGGTTTCTATTTTCAACCTAAAAAGGTGCTAGGAAAAAACAAACCGTTTTGCACTTTTGCAATGTGTTTAGCCTGACAGCAGTTGTTGGCCTGGCAACATGAATTTAAAAATGGCGACACGCATGAGGAATGCTAATGGCGGTGATGGTCCCCAGAAAAAGAGCTGTTTCTTGCAGCAGTTCGGACGGCAGCGATGCTGAAGATCCCGAATTTGTCTTCAGAGTGAGTCTCACATTGCCTGTGAAGACAAGACGGCCTCAGACGACGACGAGAGTGACCATGAGAACGTGCTTCTGAAGACTTCAGATAAAGTAGGTCGACTCTTTTCACAAGAGGTAGAAAAAGTTTGCGGGGAAACGCATAGGAATACTGCCACTGAATGTCAATATGGTAGTGTTTATAATATTCCTTTGGCATCTGGGTTTTCATACATAGTTTAAACTGGATGTTATGTTAATGAGCAAATCATGGAGCACAAAAGGTGTGTTCTCCTGTAATCCCCAAATTCAGAAACTGTAGTACATTTACAAGTTTGCAACAGTTGTCATCCGAATTGGATGGCCACCATGGTGATAAGCCAAGCGAGATCAGTTCAAACACGTGGTAGAAGAAACTCTTAGTATTGGTTCTGCTGGAAATTGTGTAAGTGTCTCGTCGATGGTGATTCACAAGCAAGCACAAACTTTTTGACCAATGCAATTTTTTTTTTTTTTTTTTGTCAGTTGCTTGACCTTGGCACATATGGAAGCGTCGAGTGCATTTCTTTTGTTTGCTCTTGCTGACAGTCTGGGTGTGTGACTTGGTGTGAGGGTTCTTGGCGTTGACTGTGGTGTACCGTTATAAAAGGGTGTGGTTTTAGAATAAACCTTCAGCTGTGTTCGAGACGGTGTGTGTGTGTCATCCTTTTTTTCGTGTCTTTTTCCTTCCGGTGTTTCAGTTTTTCGTCTGCAATTCACCAGCTTGCTTGTACTTTTACTCTCCTCTGAGTTATCGCTTTTTAAAATGCTGGCAATTGAATCTCACCTAGCCCGTTACGAACTATCCCGTGCACACAGGGCCGACTTATATGATTATGCTTCCTGTAGCAGACCCTCGTGCTTGGGTTGCCAGTGGTCACTCCCTCTTGGCTCACAAAACAATGAAACAGTGATTATAGGCACTCATTAGCAAGAAAACCATTATATCCTAAAGCATATAAGTCACATACTAAAATAATTTGGTATGTAGCGGGAACTGCAACTGTCACATTCCCGTGCAGCAGTATGCAAAATAAAAAATAAGCATGTAACAGGCAACTTGAGGTATTATGGTTACACATTAACTTAGAGGTAACCTGTCCGCATAAATTTGAAATTAAATTGGCAAGCTCTGGCCTTTAAAACACTTTTCCAATTAAGACCAGCTGATAACATAAGCCACCTGTTGGAGAATGGCGAGCTCGAGCACCTCTTGACATTCTCCAAAGCGGAAAAAGCTGCACATTCTCGTGCAGTAATACTATCTAAAAAAGAAGTGCCGGTTTCAGCGAGGGGCACGCTTATAAACGAGCATTTCGAGGCACTATGGTTGCCCGTTAATTTAGAGACAACCGTTCCGTATCAACTGAAATAAAATTGCCAATCCCTGGTTGTTAAAAAAGCGTTACGATTAAGGTCAGCATATAATGCCTCGCCTAACGTAACCTGTTGGAAGATGGTAAGAGATGCCCCTCTTGCCTTTAGCTCGAGCCTCTCGTGACATTCTCCAAAGTGGAAAGAAGTACAAGCTGTCCAACACGCCATTCCTTTTTGCAAGAAGAATACTGCCCCTTTTTTGTAGTCCAATTGTCACGACTACTGATTTGCAAAGTAGTCATGCTCCTTGAGGGCCAGCAAAGACATGCTCGGAACATTCACATGGAGCTGAGCGGATGCTGCTCCTTCCGTAGGAACTCACCTGGCTACAAGGCCCTACATGATGTGCTGCTGCTCCAAGCTGGTGGGAGGTTTGCCATGCATGGGACCAGAACCAGGGCGTTTTTTGGGGGGGAAAGTACCGTGGTTGTTTTTTCATCTTTTTGTTGTGAGGGATTACCCTAGGTTTTGGAGAAGTCTCATCTGGAACAGAGTCAAGTACTTCCTGGGCCTTGGTATGGTATTTCAACACCAGGGAGCTTGTCAATTTCTTCCTGGAGAGGGACTTGTTCAGTCCACTTATTGTTAAACATATGTTGTCCTCTGAATTTGGTTGAGTCTTCTCCATCCCTACCTCAATACCCTGCCGAATGTCATCCAAGAGGGACTGTGGCTCATCATCTAACGTAAAGCCTGTTGCTTCACGTGTTGTTGATGGCATTTCTACACCTGCCTCAGTGTCGGCCTCCTCCACGGTCGTCACATGAAGCCCCAGGTAAGCTACTGCGTGAATATGCTTGCACATCAATGATGAAATCAGGCTGTCATTGCAAGTGCACTTGTAACTGTTGATAAAGATGTCACAGTCCCTGCAACAAAGCACGCAACTCTGGCGGGGGTCGCCCTTCTCAACATGGTAGCTTCTCTCTGTCTGGGACTGAGACTTTACAAGCCAGCCATTGCCATTTTGCAGATGTTCTACATCTGATGCTGGAATTTTCATCCCCTCCTGGTGCCTCCGAAAAAGGGCTGCATCATGCCGATTCGTTTTTCCTTTTACGAGCGACTTGGGACGCTTGTAAAGCCGGTCACGGCTCAGTTCGAAGAGGATCATCAACAGCTTGTCGAGCCTCTGGTTGCGAGTTCCATGCATGTAGCGTGACTTCAGGTCCTTGTACATTGCCTCCAAAAGGTTCGTAGTATTAAAAGGAATGCCCTTTCTGAAGCAGAGCACCCACTGTTAGGCTCTGCCACCGTGGTAGTGCCCGAAGTACTGAAGAAACTCGTGTACTTGTTGAATTAGTTTTGGATCAGTCTCTTCACTTAGTTTCTGACACGGGAAGCCTGTCGGAGCTCGTTGGAATTGACCCTCATATTTGCAATTTCTCAGCGCCCACAACTCGTCGCAAAGACGGTCACGGGTTTGCTTATATCTTGGACTGACTGCAACTTCAGAGCCCAGTTGTGGCTTACATGCCACGAGCAGAGCATCCAATGTTGGGCACAGCCCATCACTTCCTCCCATGCATTACCTTTATGGCTTTAAGGAGCGTTTCATAGCCTTGGTGCCTAGTTACTTTGAGATCAAATATGTGCATGGCATGCCTGAGTGATCTTCTGCAGCTGTCATGAGTGTTCAGTTGCAGATTGTGGCCATTTATATTATGAGTGTAGTCAATGCACAGAAACTTGGGGCCAAGCTTTGTGAGGCGTTCTTTCTGAGGGACAGTCATCAGGGCAAGCTCAAAGCTCTCTTTTTGTTTTCCTTCCTCCATGTCAGTACAGGACTGAAGAATCTGACTTTGTTCAGTGCCGTAGCTCTTTCGTCAGAATTTCATGCTTGACGGAGATGTTGCCAATGTCTTTCATTGAGAGTAAATGTAGCCTGCCCATCTCACTGCCAGCAGAAGAATGTGCGTCTACCAGATCTTTAAGGGCGGGGATGCCTTGCTTTAGTTTATCAGCTAAAGCCTCCTCCTCAGTCGTAAAGAGGCGCTGGTGCTTCAGTTCCTTCGGGTGGCCGTAGTGTTCTGCCTGGTACTCTACTGTCACCTTGCCATCTTTCCCTGTAGCTTGAATTGTGGCTAAGCATTGCACATTAGTCTTACAAGTGCCCTGGGTTCTCAGTTGTCATTTACCTCTTGCTCTGAAATGATCCAGAGCGGTGGCAGTAGTAATACCTTTTCAGGACACCCTCATCTCGTCCCTTGGGTCCGTCGTGGAGAATGAAGCGAACATGCTCTCTGCCATCCCTAGCCTCCCTCCAGTCACTGAATTCTGGCAGGCAGAGAAGAAAGAAAGCTTAAAATGAAATGGCCTGAATTAAGAGTGGTATTTCAGTCACATCATATACTCCACTGCTTCAAAACATCTTGTTTGTTTCACTAAATGTACATCCCAATCAGACTTTTAGCTGTAGCATGCAGTCCATGGTTTTTTTCGTGCTTCCAATGCCCACATAGTAGGTGCACTCCAAAACACTACGGTCTGCAAGAACAGGTTCACTGCTCCCCACATGTGTGGTGTTTGCAAGTGCACCTGCTATGTGAGTGACGGGAGGACAAAAAAAAAAAAAAAACACAAACTAAAATATGTTTTGCATATTCATAAGTTCAATGCAAGTGCGCACTACAACGGAGAGGGAGCACAAGTTTCTTTTGCTCCGTGTGGACCGCGCATCTTTCACAGAACACTTTAAATCTACGGTTAACCAAACACTAAGAATTTTATTCGCGAATCGATTTATCCGAGAGCTTACTATTTGATTTGTATTCCGATATTAAAGTATTCATACACCCCTAGAAAAGAGTCAAGTCTCATTATAGTGGCAGTCACAAGAGCAGCTGAAAAACCCTAGTGTGTTGGTACCATGTAAACTGTAGACGTGAGATATATGCTTACCGTAAAATTCTGAGAGATGCCCCAGCCTCGAAAGGTAAGCCACCCCAGTTTTTGGCTTCATTTGCTTTTTTTTCTTTTAGTTAGCTATTGGGGATATCATGTGTCTAGTTATTGTGTCGAGTTAGCTACGGCAAGATATAATGAACCATTGCCGACTGGCAAGTAGAGCTATTATTGCTTTACACTGCAAGTGAGCCCACTCCTTAATTTGAGCCATTTTTTTCTTGATTTTAGGTGGGCTATCTCCCGGGATACTAGGGTAACACTGTGACCCCTCTACTTCACTCCCCAGGTAGCCATACTCCCATCATACATACCTGTGGCAACGGCCAAAGCCGCTACAATCAGGTGTGTCAGGTTTGTGCTTAAGCTTATGTGCTTAAGGTTATGTGCTTAAGCTTACACTGAGCAGCCGAGCAGATAGAGCTCCGCGGCTCGTGCGTATGAACTCGTGCTTTGCGCCCGTGGCTACAACGTACCCGGCTCTGAGCCGATCGCCATATTAAACCTCTTCTTCTACCTTGCTATTGTGTCACCTTTCCTGGCGAAACTTGCAACACGACTTGCAACATGGTGTCAGAAGTGGGATGCGGAAGTTGTTGACAGCGAAGATGCTCAAGAGCCACGTACAGAATGTGAAGGCAATCTTCATTCACACACGAGAAGTGGCCGATGCGTCAAGGCTCCCCAGAGACTTTGACTCTTCTGTATGGGAGAGATGTTGGCTACACTGAGCAGCCGAGCAGATAGAGCTCCGCGGATCGTGCGCATGAACTCGTGCCTTGCGCCCGTGGCTAGAACGTACCTGGCTCTGAGCCGATCGCCATATTAAACCTCTTGTTCTACCTTGCTATAGTGTCACCGTTCCCTGGTGCAACTTGCAACACGACTTGCAACACTATCCACAAGCTTTAGCGTCAGTGCACGAGAACAAGTGTTGGCTCGAGGAATAAAAATTGACATTCTATTTTGTCTTAAAAAGGGCTCGGACATTCATTCAACTCTTTCTCGACCTAACGTAACGAGGAAGTATGTTACCACACAAACAATTCAGTGCTAAATGAATTGCATGTGGTAAAATACTCCTTCAGGATGTTATAAGGTATATACACTGGAAGTATGGCTATTCCCATGCACAGGTGTGCTTTAGGAGGCGATCCTGTTGATGTCCTGATGTGAAAGTCATGCTTGTAAAGTAACATGGCTTAAAGAAAGCTGAAGTGGTTCCTAAAATGTAGTTGGAGGTCAATTCTTGCCTGGTTTTACCCCATGAATCCAAATATGACAATTATTTGGTGCAAAATTGTTGGCAAACGCAAGGTAGCCATGTTTCACATTCACCGTTTATGACGTCAAATATGGGTTTCCGGCTACACAGCGCATGCCAGTCCATAAAGGGTCCCTTTCATTTCATCGAAACTCGCTTCGTAAAATTATGTTTCGCGGACAACTTTTCATGGACACGTTTTGTCAACACAATCGTTTCATTGATGCTTGTTATGCGAATTGCATGCTGTAGGGACATTTCGTCTTGCGTGTATCACTGGGGTATGTATTAACCCACCCACAAGCCTGCCTGCCTGCCTGCCTGCGTTCACGCCGCTTCGCGGCGGCTCATTACAAAAATGTTAACCCACCTTACCGACACTGCATGGGACTGTCGCAGTGACAGTCTCATGCAGCTTATTACAGAAAAAAAGGTAACCTGAGCTGTCGATGAACCGTCATGCAATGAACTGATTGCCACTTCTCCAGGAGTACTCTGAGTTGCATAGCTTTGATCAGTGCAGTTGGTGTGCAAGCTTTTTGGGGATTGTGCACCTGCAGAACAAAAGAGCTCTGTATACGACATCACAAACTACCACTTTGAAAGCACTTTTCAGAGGGGAACGAAAGAATAAACTCGTACCGCACAGCAAGTTTTAAACATCTCGAAAACAATTTGCACGAAAGACGAGAGAGGGACAGGACAAGTGGCACTATCGAAAAGAATGTGGCACTTTGAGATTCAAAGAAAGGCAGTGTTGCATTTTGATGCTCTAGAAAGATGAACAACCCTCTAGAAGAGAAAAGGAAAGAAAAAAAAAAATTAACAAACCGACTTTCTTCTCGTACTTCTCTTAGCACGCATCAAACAGTCAGTCGATACTAGATGGTAACGCTTGTTGCCATTTCTGTTCTTATCCTCTTCTTTTGCAATGTTTTCAACATATGCTGGGATTTCATGTGGCAGCTCGTGCTATTAGAGGAACGAGTGTATTTTATCCCTCTGTGCAATCGCAATAGTCACCATTGGTGCGGATGCAAATTTGTGGTAATGAATTGTCGTCTCTTTTCAAATTTTTTTGTCTTTAAACGAGAGCTTGAATTATATATTTTCTGCTCTAGGCCCACACCGTATTTTGTAACAGTGGTAGGCATTGTTATTGATTTTTCTTCTGTAGAAAAGGTAGAAAACTAAGCGAGCGCACTTACCTTTCAACAAATTGAACTTTAACTTGTCACGCCTCGCGACGATCCCGTGTTTCGCTTCAAAGTGGCGCAGCAAGCTGTTGGACACAGATCGCATGCAAGGCGGCAGCGGACAGTGTGATCCAGCTCGTGTCAGCGTCCCCGTGAACCTCCTTTAGGTGCCTCTTTAGGTTGTAGATTTTCTTGAAGCACATGTCACAAATCATGCACTTGTACTTATCTGGGTCGGCGTTATGCCGCTAGCATGCACAAAAGCTACGGAGCAACCAGCAACCACATCCGAAATTCAAACTGAGAACCGTTGAAAACAGCGAGGCGCCAGGGCGCCAGTGCGCGAGTCATACGTGACGCTATCATCATCATCACCACTACGCGAACGGATTCCCTACGAGCGGTTTTCCCTACGCTGGCGTTGTCCCCAGATCTAGGCACGGGCAGATCTCTGGATAGGCGCTCGCAGTGGGATGAGGCTTCGACGAACGGCGAGCGTAGAAAGGTCCCGGATGTACGCGGCGGCGCTGCGGTCGTAAACCGGTTCGAGGACTCGACCGGTTCCGAGCGTTCCGAAGGCTTTCGGCGCGAGCTTGGCTGGTGATTTGGCCATTTGGCGGTATGGCAGCGCCAAGTGGCTCCCGTTCTGAACTGATCTTTACCCCGTGTTTGCTGTCGTTTGTGGCCAATGAAGTGGTATGCCGAATTAGTCTTTAATCGCGCAGCAAATGCGATGCGAGCCGCCCTGGCCGCCCGCCTCATACAGCCTATCCAACACGTGCTTTAGTGGCGCCCTCTTGAGCCGTCGACATGGAGTGCGGCAGCCGTGAGCGCTCGCTGAGCTTACTACTCCTCCTCTAGTTGACGGCCACTCAAGCCAGGACTTACGACGTCAATAAGGAGGTTATTTTTTGCTTGTTTTTTCATTCTAATTTGCCTATAACTTTTAAAATAAAGCGAAATTTGAGAGAAGAAAAGTTTCTTTAAGTTACTACGTTCAGTGCGCTCAGGTTCGGTGCAAATTAAGAACCAGTCAAAAAGTTGTTGCAGGGCAGCCTAGCTTGGAGTGCGCGGGCGCATGAGACACGATTTAAGCTTGAGCGCTACCCTTGACAGCGCTTTCTTGAGTCAGTCTGAGCCGACACGCTGCTTGGAGCAAGCCGACCCAAGTCTCCGTTGTTTATTTATTCGAATATCTATTTTGATTTATATCGCAAAAAAATTACTTCGAATTGTGTATGGGTGGGGAAAATTTTTTTTTTTATTGGTAGATGTATACTTTATTTCTTAAAATATTTTTTTTTTCTGATTCTGTACTCGATGCTGATAAACTAGAAACGAAATGTGTCTAATAAGATTGAAAAGTTATACCCCTGTCAGACGGCAGCTAAAATGGCATTTACGCCAAATGGCATTCAGTGTAAATGTCATTTAGGCACTGTCACACGGCAACTCGAATGGCATTCAACCGAAATGCCATTTCAGGTAAACTGAGTTCGTAAAGCGTACTCTCGTCGGCAGCGCTCGGCACATGTGACGGGATTTTTTTTTAAAAAGAAGGCATTAATTGCGGAAACAATTTTTACTTCGTTTTAATTACGAAAACAATCAGTTCAACGCATATTTTGCACACACTTTACGTTCCTAAATGTTTAACCTACTCACGGCTCCAGCGATCTAGTAGGCCTAATGGCTCTGAACCCAGCTGACCCAGCGCTGAACCGCTGTAACTGTCGTGAGCTCGCCTCGGTCGGCTGTTGGTTCGTTGGTTCCATTTCCAGTTACGCTCAACATTTGCGCGTTTTTACGATGTCGGAAGGAGCACCTGCCGGCAAGAAAAGGCCACCTGTTAATTATACCACCCGCGAGACGTCAGCACAGCTACGTGAGACGAGCACCTCGAATGCCTTCGGTAGCAGAAGCGGAACGGCGGGTTCTGCACCGGCATTCGGGCGTTTTTAGAAGCCCTCGGTTTTCAAGACAGATGTCGCAGTCCATCACAACACCGAAACCTCGAGGAACATGTTTGGGTAAGATATAACTTTGACGGTGGGCGTAACCAACGTGAGCACGCAAAACCACGACGCGCAAGACAGTTAGCGGAGCGGACGGCCGCCTAGTGTTTGTTTTGCGTGTGCGGGTCGTTGCAGCACCGCGTACCTTGAACGAGTTCATTGCACGACCGGCTTGGTTGTGGTTCATACTAATATAGCTGTCTGCGCCTAGCAGCGCTTTAAATTTCGCGTTTGTTGCGCAGGCAACAGCTCCCGAGGTTGGCTGACATGCCTTGTCAAATGTACTACCGCCGTGTAGAGATTCTGGGAAGAATGCAAGACGTCAAAGAGGTTGTAAACTTGAGGAAGAAAACGAGAAAGGACGGACAAACACAAACTTTGTGTTTGTCCGTCCTTTCTCGTTTTCTTCCTCAAGTTTACTATCCATACCAACCCGCTCGTTCTGTCCCTTCAAAGAGGTTATTTTTCTTTTAAGTGGTACAAATCTTGTAAATTGTGGTCTGTTGTTCTAATAAACGTAGTGTAGGTATTCGCCACCGTGACCTTTTACCGGCTTTTACATTCCCATTGACGTGCTCCAAAATGAAATAATAAATGCTGCATAAAGTCAGTCTCTGAATGTGTCTATTTCTAGCTTTCTTTGATGTTGGAGAATCCCATTCTGTTTCAAAGCTAAATAAGCTACGTGTGTTTACATTATAGGTGCACATTTTTATTCCAAAACATCCCAAAAATCGTTTGATAAGGTATTGCACATATACATTGAATACAGTTGCTGCACAGTTGCTACTTAAGATATCTACATGTTCCAGAAAACATCTGCTGCTGGGGGCCACCATAGAAGTAGGCAAAGTGATCTGGCTACATTACAGAAAAATCTATAAGTTCCTGGGATCACTGCCTCTAAATAACAAGTGCAGTTTCTTGCAGCCATGGCCACTTATGTGACATTCTCCTCACTTGTTTTCAGACGTGCAATGCAAAAGCACTCCAGAAAGCGCAACCTGTGTGAGGTACCTTTGGAAAAGCCGCAATAAAAGAATGTTGTGGGGCTGAAAAGGACAGTGCAATAGCCAGCATCAGGGCTGCCACTGGTAGTGACCCTAAGATACCAGTGACAATGTCGGTGATGATGCCACAAGTTCCAGAACAGGCCGACGAAGCAGGCCTTTTAATGCCATCTTCTCCCACTTGGCTCAGTACAGCTTCCAGCCCGGACGGAGAGGCATCGCAGGCCAGCACTATGGGACGTGACACATCGTAGTGTGTTAGAACATCTGAGGATTCTAGCAGACCCTTGGCACGCTTGTACACCTCTCCTTCCATCTTCGTCCAGGCCCACACCTTATCCTTATCCAGAAGGCGATAAAGGGTTCCAACTCATGGGCAGCCCCCTTCAAAAAACAACCATAGAGGTTCAGAGCTCCCAAGAATGACTTTAGTTCTGTCTTGTTCGTCAATTCTGAAGCTTTCTTGGTGGCCTTCACCTTTTCGGCCGAAGGACTGACGTCGTCCTTGTTGGTACGGTACCACAGCTACTATACTTCCTCGACTTGGAAAGCGCACTTGTTAGCGTTCAGACACAGGCCGTTGTCCTGGATGCGCTGCAGCACCCTTGGCAGCCTATCGTCGTGTTCAGCTCCCGTTTGTCCTCCGATGAGAATGTCATCCGAAATAGCCTACACTTCTTCAAGGCCGTTCAAGAGCTCTTCCATATAAAGATGTGGGGTTCTGCCGGGCACTGTTAGTATATTATTAGAGGTATGAAGGGAAAAAGAAGTGCCTAAGGAAAGAAGTGGAATGACATTTCAACCAAACGGTCTTCTTCAGGTATACTAAAAGGGGAGACGACAGATCAAAAGGGTCAGATCGGCTTTGAAGTGCAGGGACGAAGGACAGGCCCTTTGATAAAATAACGTGTTCAGGGGCAGTGAGGGGTAAATCGTCAAGTATGGCAACACCATCATTCCGTTGGACGGCAGCCTCATGATTTCGGGGCAAGAAAGTGTCTAGTTTCCTTGATTTACAGGCGAGACCATCGGCATAGAGATACGAGTTGACTAAAGAATTTTGTTGACAAGTTTGTGTGAGTGAGAATGGAAAGATGAGTCAAGGGACTTGAGGAGTCTTTTAGCGACGGTGAGCTTTTGGCGTAACTGGGCACAGTGGTCATTATGATATCTCAGATCTGCCTTCACTAGGTGGAGAGCAGCATTATCTAATATTTGTGACACTTCTTAAGGGCCAGAGAAATTCTCATTGGCAGGTTGAGAGGAGGGCCCGTGTGTTCGCACGCAAGACATGTCGGAGTGCCGCACGGCGTGGTACCGGGGAGCAAAGTCTGACGCTTTGTGGACTGGTTGCTGCGTACTGGAAAGGATCGTAAGTTGGGCTGTCGATAGCAAGTTAGGGTGGGTGCTTTAAAAATAACTTTAGAGTCTACGAGGTGGGAAGTTGTCTCCATGATTAGTTTGCCGAGCCTGGGTACGGAGGGATGGAACATAAAGATGAGGCGGTTTCGGAGTGGCTGCTATGTACTAGAAGGGATTGTAAGTTGGGCCGACGACGGTAAGTTAGGGCGGGTGCTTTAGAAACTACTGCAGAGTCTACGAAAAGGGAAGTGGTTTCCATGATTAGTTTGCCGAGCCTGGGTATGGAGGGACAGAACGTAGAGATGAAGGGGTTTCGGAGTGGTTGCTGTGTACTAGAAGGGATTGTAAGTTGGGCTGACGACGGTAAGTTAGAGCGGGTGCTTTAGAAACTACTGTAGAGTCTACGAGGTGGGAAGTGGTCTCCATGATTAGTTTGCCGAGCCTGGTTACGGAGGGATGGAACGTAAAGATGAGGGGGTTTCGGAGTGGTTGCTGCATACTGGAAGGGATCTTAAGTTGGGCTGTCGATAGGAAGTTAGGGCGGGTGCTTTAGAAATAACTCTGGAGTCTACGAGGCGGAAAGTGGTCTCCATGATTAGTTAGCCGAGCCTGGGTATGGAGGGATGGAATGTGAAGATGAGGGGGTTTCGAAGGGTGTTGCTGTGTACTGGAAGGTATCGTAAATTGGGCTGTCGATAGGAAGTTAGGGCGGGTGCTTTAGAAATAACTTTAGAGTCTACGAGGTGGGAAGTGGTCTCCATGATTAGTTTGCCGAGCCTGGGTATGGAGGGATGGAACGTAAAGATGAGGGGGTTTCGAAGGGTGTTGCCGTGTACTGGAAGGCATCGTAAGTTGGGCTGTCGATAGGAAGTTAGGGTGGGTGCTTTAGAAATAACTGTAGAGTCTACGAGGTGGAAAGTGGTCTCCATGATTAGTTTGCCGAGCCTGGGTATGGAGGGATGGAACATAAAGATGAGGGGGTTTCGGGGTGGTTGCTGCATAGTGGAAGGGATCGTAAGTTGGGTTTCAATAGGAAGTTAG